ATTGTAGAAATAGTAAATATAATTTTATTTGGACATAAAACATCATTTTATGATTGATAAAATTATATTGTAATTTTTGAATGCATTATTTCCTATTTTGAATTTATTGTATTTATTTAGGTGAAAACCGAAAATAAATATGGAAAATTCAAAATGAACTTTATTAAACTTGGAAATATTATTTCTAAGTTGAATAAGGTTGTTGATAAATATATTGTTCAAAATAATATTAGTTAGTAATTAAATAAATATATATTTATATATGTACTCGGTTTTATTACCGAAATATTATATATATTTATATATTTGTATTTTAATTACATAAATGACTAATATATATTATGGAAAGTTATATCTCAGTAAGAAAAAGAATGTTTTTCAAAATATTAAATTTTTGCAATTTAATATTTTCAAAATCAATTTAAATGGCTTTTTATAACTTATTGAGATTTAACTAATATATTTTGGAAATAATGATTTATAAATTTTGGAAATTTTTTTTCCAGGTTTATAAATGTTAAAAATAATTACTGGAAGTTGAAATTCAATTTTCATGATTTTTGCAAAATTGTTTCAGAATTTTAATGGCCTTTTGAATATAATTTTGCAAAAAGGGCATTTTGGTCATTTGAAATATTCTGGAATTTTTTTTTATGCTGGCCGAATATCCAGATTATATAAAATGATTTTATAAAATTTTATTAGATTTATTTGGACATCTAATTTAATTTTATGAGTTTTAGAAAATATTTACTGCCGTAGTATTTTTTAGAACTGTCTGGGGTGAGCGCGGTTCACCCGGTGTATGTATATCTCTATTGCTTGTTTGGATGTATGATATGCATGGTGGATGATTGTGGCTATAATTTATTTGATTATAATACGGCCTGCGTGTCGTGCCTTATCTCTTAAACTCTTGTTGTAAATCTATTTCTCTCTCTTACCTCAACCGAGGATTCTTTTCTCACGTGGTGGTTTGAAGACGAAAAGATTTGAAGACCGTTTGGAGAAATCTAAAAGAATGGAGATAGCCCGAAGTCCAAGTGCCCGGAAGCCAGTGGGAGCTATCGTTTTATTTTTCTTTTAGGGGCCACAATCATTACACGTTTATTTACTGCGTTTTGTGAA